GTATGGAGTGCCCATTCTGTCTGGTCCAAGGCAAGTGCCACATGCAGCATTGGACCAAGAGTGGGTACTGCATTCAGTGCATTTTGGGACTGATCAGAGCAGGCACCGGATCTGGCAATTCTGGGGAGGAGGGCAGTGCTCCTTGGGTCCCACTCATGCTGAATCTGGCACCAACTCTGGCCAGGCCAGGGCAGGTGCCCACAAGCCACTCATGTCCCAATCTAGCCAGGGCAGGTACCACATGTGGCACAGTCCTGGACAGGCCAAAGTGAGCACCACTGGCACTGGATCCAGCATCTGAATGATGAGGGAGAGAGGGGTCTGATCCAGCCTAACGGGCCAAACCCACACCATTCATCCTACCTGTGGACTCCCAGGCCATTCATTTGGCCTGTGGGATGAGATGAGTTTGACATCCCTGCTCTATACAGCTGGGCATAAAAAACACCATGTTATTTCTCTTGGTGACAAGAGAAACAGTGAAACCGTAAGAAAGACCCACTGCCAAATTTAAAATTAAGTCTATAGAAGCAAGCTATATTGACTCAAAAGCTGAAGAAAGGGTCAGAAAAGCTCATTATACAAGGTCATAACCTTTCTTACTGTGAAGGTGGGGTGAAGGTATGCTAAAATGTTATATAAATGTTAAAGTGGGAATGCTATGTTAATTCTATGCTTTGTAGCCTTTAGACTGCAGTAGTAACAGACTGCAACTGTCATAATCTGAAGATCCAGAGTACAAAAGGTTAGAGATGGGTGTTCATATGCTCCAATTGTCATGAATTCTCAGAATGAGGAGGTAAAGGTCAAAATCACCCTTTCCAAAGAATACTCCTTACAAGTGAGTAAGCTTTAACCATAAAGAAAGGTTAGATCAATAATGTTATGTAACCTTCTTCAGAAGTAAGTGAACTTTAAACTTTTGAAAGATTGCAAAGGTTCATTTGTGGGTGATGATGTTATGAGTATCACTGGCTACCGGCAGCATGACTAGCCATACTTTTTATTACCAGTATTAGGGCTCAGAACATAAATTAGATGTACTCTGGTTCTGATCACTGTCTTTTGGGTTGACTTTTGCCCTGCACATGTTATAGTGAATGGTTCTCTCTCAGACTCTTGCCCAGAGCATTTTTTGCTGCTATAAAATGCATGATCCAAGTCTTCTTTTAGAGTTTCAGCTTAAGCATATTCAGAATGCTATTTGTGCTTCTACAGATGTTTGCAAACAAATAAATAACATTTCTGTATGCATTGTCCAGCTTGAATAAGACAGACATTTATTTGTGATAGCCATTACTATGTACCATAATGGAACCATTAAGACGTATCCCCAGATCACAGCAGACCAAATGATCTTTTTTAACCAGGCAAAACTGCGTATGTTCATGCAGACAAGAAAAAAAGGCATTCTATCCTCTGATTAGAAGGTGCCATACACCTAGGTAAGTCAAGAGCAGAATGGACATCTGAAAGCTAACACAAATAGGACACATTAAAAAAAAAAAAAGATGCTGTTGACTATCTTAATGTACACAATTTTTCCCCTTTACCTTTTAAAGGATGGTATTTAAAAAGATGATCAAGAGGGACAGCAACAAATCACTATTTTACCATGAAAATGAACAAATACTCTAAGCGTATTCATGTTTCCACAAATTATAAAACCAGCCCGTTCAAAATATTTAGTAAGCATGCACTACAGAATGTACAAACAACTAATGACAACACAGATGGATGAAAATTACAGTTGATTGATATGCATTTTCCCCACACAACATGGCACCCAAGCCTCAAGAGAAACACATTAAAGCCCACCAGTTCATTTCAGAATAGTGTATGAGCATCATTTTAAGTCCGTAAGAAGCTGCCTGGTTAATGTTAGATAACACACCTTATTTACTGAGTGTACAACTGTCACTTCTAATCATTTTTGACAACAGAATGCAACAAATATACAAACGTTTGAGTCTCCATCACACAAGTTTTGCCTCTAGGGTTTCATATTGTGTGGTTAAAGGAAAATAAATGTACTTCTCAGATAGGTTGCATACCTCAGCTTTTTGCCTACTCAAAAAAAAAAGTCATTTTCATTCCAACCACATGCTCTCACTTGCACACTAATCATCTCCTAGCATACAACACCTAGGATAGATGACCATTGGTTGTTACAACACAAAATGATACTGGCAAACACTTTTTTTCTACAAAAGATTGACCAGTCAGAATGAGCCACCAGGAAGAAGTAGTATATTGTGATAAGCAACAAGAACTTAGCCTAGGTACAGACATTATACCTACTGTGCTATAAGCATGCAGAAAATGCTCTATAGCTATAACAGAACAGATGTTCACAGCTCACAGAGTGCTTTAAAAATGACACATCACACTCTAATTTAACCCTCAATGGATGTGTTATCAGATGAAAGCGCTTTCGATTAAAGAACTTTTTTCAATGTCTGAGCCACATCCCATCAGGTGTTAAGCTAGGTCACGTTCACTAGCATTTCAGGGGCCCTCTGCAGGGCAGCGTACTCATTTTGGGCACAGCTTATATGCTGTACCTGAGCACTGGGCTGGTCCTGCACCATCAGCTGTCACTGACCTGAGTCAGTGACAACCTCTGATCCCAAGCCCACATCCTCCCTCTGGCCAGCTGCAAGCCACAGCCTGGTCAGCAGGGGGAAGGTGGGTTTCTGTTCCCACAGCTGCCCCTTGGCCCCTGGGGTTCACCACAACCTGGCCAAAACCTGGGATTGCTTTCCCCTAGCTGCAGCCAGGAGCTGCAGCACAGTGCCACTTTTTGCTATGCCAGGAACTCTAGTGGCGGGGAAGGGGGAAGGAGCCCCCCTGCCAGACACCTCCCGCCACCCAGCTTCCAGCTTAGGTCTTGGTGGTGACCAGGCTGGGTCCTCCATGACAGGGGTGCTCCTTTCACCCAGCTGCAGCCAGAAGTGGCAGCATGGGGCTGCACTGCTTTTCCCTGCACTGATGACTCTGGCAGGGGAGGGGAAGTGTGGAAAAGGAGCCCCACTGCTGAGTGGGTCCAGCCTGGCCTCCACCAAGACCTCAGCTGGGAAGCAATGGGAGGGCCTCCGAGCAAGAGGGGCTCCTTTTATACTGCCTCCATCCCCACCAGAGTTACCAGCACAACAAAAAGCAGCACAGACCTATTCTGCTGTCTCTGGCTGCAGCTGGTGGAAAGGAGCCCTGAGTGAAGGGGGGTATATTTCTCTATGGGGGGGGGAAGGGTGCTGTTAATTCAGTTCTTCCATCGCATATTTTACTTTATGTAAGCATTTAAAACTGACTGTGTGCTCTCTGGAAAATGCAACAAAAAATGAAGAGTCTCTTCCCAGAAAAGCAGAGTCAAAAGGCAGGACTCACCGGGAACCATCAGATTTAAAAATCGGATGTAATGTTGACTAACCATAAAAAATTACAAGCAAAACACTTTTTTTTAAAAACAAACACAGATGATCAAGTGATTCAAAACCTTCATCTATCTATCCATTAGAGAATCAACCTATAGATTTTGCTTTATTCTTTATAGATTTTTCCTAAAGAATAAAGAACAATCAGATAGAAAGATTTGCCCTCAAAACTCCCATTTGACTGGCTACATTATGACTAAGCCTCCTTGCAACCAATTGAAAACAGTGATTCATTATAGGTAGTTTTCAGTTCATGTATTATTTCCTACATAACATTCTCCCTGCCACAAGACAGGTCCTATGAGGAAAGGTTGCGGGACCTGAACCTGTTCAGCCTTCAAAAGAGAAGGCTGAGGGGGGATCTTGTGGCCTGTTATAAACTGGTTAGGGGGGATCAGCAGGCACTGGGGGAGTCCCTGTTCCCCCGAGCGCCGCAAGGAGTGACCAGGAACAACGGTCACAAGCTGGCGGAGGGAAGGTTTAAGTTGGACATCAGGAGGCGCTACTTCACGGTCAGGGCGGCTAGAGTCTGGAACCAGCTTCCAAGTGAGGTGGTGCAGGCTCCCACCCTGGGGGTTTTTAAGAGGAGGTTGGATGACCACCTTACTGGGGTCGTTTGACCCCAGTACTCTTTCCTGCCATGGCAGGGGGTCGGACTAGATGATCTGCTCAGGTCCCTTCCGACCCTAGAAACTATGAAACTATAAGACACATTTTTTCCCTACATCATTCAAAGCGTCACACAGGTGGTCTCTAAAGAAAGCCCTTAGTTGCTAGTCCAGTAGCTCAGCAATGCAGGAACCTAATCCCACCCGTGCTAAGTGTTTGTTGGAAAGAACAAGCCTCTTAAAATATCAAGCTGCAGAAATGCTTTTGCTCACAGATTTGTAATTCCCAATTTGACCTTGGAAAGTGAAGCTGTTGTGATGTCAACTGTATAGGAAGAGTGATTGTTCTTTACAAGTTTTAATACAGTCTTAAATCCATGGTTAAGATCAGTGTTTTACAAACACTGCTGACCCATTTCATTAAAGAGCAATTTATTCAATCATAATGTAATGAGACAAGGCACTCCAAGCTGCCTTGCAAGTTATGAGAGTAGTAAGCAATAAAATAGCTGTATAAAACATTTATCCCTACATCTCTCAAATAATTAGAAATACATGTAATTGCATTCTATTTTTTAGAATAGCTTGTGGGAATACAATTCAATGACAATAGTTTATCATAGTAAGTCAGCTCAGTAGGGTTACAGTATGCTGAGTCTAAATGGGAAGACTTTGTTTCACTACTGCAGTGCAGCAGAATCTGGTGTACTTTTTATGGGAGCATCAATGGTCTCCCACTGTTATTTTTTTAAATTAAACCCCATGCCTACTGAGTTAATAAGCATGCAATCAGTAAAATCTTTCTGTAAGTTCCCAGTAATGGTACACACAGTATTTTGTCATAACAGATAATAAAATTTGACAAACTATTCTGTAATTACTATTCTGTTTTATACAATATTACTAGCACATGTAACATGCAACTGGATCTAATGAATGATCAATGGATAATAAAGCCTGGCATTTTGCTAAACTGAAATCACATAATTGCAACTGAATTCAATGTACTCTTCTGATTTGTAATACTTAATCAGATTTGCTGAAAGGCCAAGAGGGATTTTTTTCTCACCCTTTTTGTACCTAGTGAGAAGAGCATGACATGCTGTCAGTTGTAGATTTTGCTACATACAGCAGCATCACTTTAAGATTGGCTATCATATTACACTGTATGTGGGGCTAACCTTTGGGGCCTTTCAGAAGTTGAAGGGAGTACAGTATCTACTTATTAGGCCTGGGCAAAGCAGCTAGCATTTGCTTCGGATTCGGCCAATTCAGGGGCCAATGATTCGATTCGGTGATTCAAATCACTGTCCCGAATTGATTCGGTCAAATTTCTGAATCAAACAGGCCCCATCCCCCACCCACTCTCCCAGCCCCGTCAATGGCTGCCCTGCCCAACCCCAGCCTCTTGGCTCTTAAAAAAAAAAAAATGCCCAGCACTCACCAGATGCTCCCAGGTGGTGGTGGTGTTGGTGTGATCCCCACTGCTGCCCCACTGTCCCATGCTGTGTGGGGGACTCTGTCATGAGCCCTCCACCCCCTGCCTGCTCTCCGAGCCCCCCCAATGGCTGCCCCACCCAGCTCCAGTCTCCCCCCCACTCATTAGCTGATGCCAGATAGGGGGGCAATCCCCACTGCCCCCCACTGCCCAATGCTGCATGGGGGTGGATCTGCCATGAGCCCCCAGAATCCCTGATATCCACTGCAGCATCTGTGCAGGGCTTTTTTTTTTCTCTTTTAAAGAGCCAGACACTGGGGCTAGGAGGGGCAGCTATTGACGGGGCTGGGAGAGTAGGTGGGAGATGGGGGCTCATGACACAGCCCCCCATGCAGCACAAGGCAGTAGGGGGAAGTGGTGATTGCCCATCCCCCCCCTGCAGCAGCCAGTGGGGGGGTTCTTTCTTTTTTTTTTTTTTTAAACTAGGAGCTGGGGCCGTGTGGGGCAGCCATGGGAGGGACTGGGAGAACAGGCAGGGGTCAGGGGATGCTCAGGAGGTCCTGGGGAGCAGGCACCCCTGGTGCTGTCTTCAGGATGGGAGAGGAAGGAGAGGAGGGAGCTCAGTCTGGGGTTGGCTCAGCCTGCACTGGAGTTAGAGAGGTGGGTGAATTGGAGCCCTCCACCACCACCAAGGTGGGAGGGCTCCAATCCACTCGGCCCCACTCCAGCACAGGCTGGACAAACCACAGACCAAGCTCCCTCCCCTCCTTTCCCCTCCTCCCAGCTCTGCTGCTGTCTTCAGGAGGGCGGGGAGAGGCAGGGCTACAGGAGAGAAGCTGCAGACAAGCAGCTGGCTCCAAAGTGCAGCTCAATTCCCCACCCCTCCCCTGGATCCAACAGAGAACATGTTGCGTCAAGAGGGTCACTATAACTCATGGCTCTTTCTATGAAGCATTATGAGTTATGGTGGGGAGCTACATGTCTGTCAGTGACCTAAGAGGCATTTTACTTTCTTTAGGCAAAATGCTTCTCCAGAGGCAACATTTTATTACATGCTTGTTAAGTAATATTAGTCATTGCAAGTGTCAGTATACCACTCTTACATCAAGCAGCAGCTTATTCTGGAAGAACTCCTATTTCATCATGAGTAAGAATGGTAGAATCAAGCCCTATACACAATTTCTGGGGTGGATGGGGCTGTGGAAGGCACTTTAATTAAAGTGGCTCTGAGAGTCACTCCAACTGCATCAGAGCAGAGGTCCATCATGTGTATAGGTGGCCCAAGGTAGCAAAGACCCATTTTGTGAACCTTTCAATAGATCCTTGAAGGATTATAAAGGTTCACAAAAGGGAAATGGATGGTTCCAACAAGTTCTTTCCAATTATTTTTTTCTTCTTGGTTTTTATGACTACTTGGTCAAAATAAGAAAAAGGAAGCATTTTACATTCCCAGAGCCTGTGCTTGTAGCCAACAACATTACCTTAACTGGTTCCCAAATGTATTACTCTTTCCTTGTTCTGAGTTTATACAAATCATTTGGGCCTTTAAATTTTTTATATATATGTATATATTCATTTTTATTTTCTTTAATTTATATATTTTAAATTCCCCAAGAGTTCTGTTAGCTTATTTTTTACATAATTCTTCTCAAAATACTGTTAGGTTTTCTAAAATTCCCCCAGCTTTATTTTTCTTTTTAGTCTTAAGTAGTACCTCACTGATATAAGCTTCCCAGTTCCTTTAACTTGTTTCCAAGAAGCCATCATTAATTACGGCATAAAATCTGATTCTTTCATTCAAAATTCCTGTGTGCTTTGTCATTTAAGTCATGTACAATTCAGCATCAATTATACCACCCTACAACTAGTTACGTTCTTTGTACAGCTATCCATATAATAACTTACCCAATTTCTCTTCAATTTGCCCTCTGAACAAGGTGAAAGCAAGCTAGTCAACACTTGAGAGGAAGCAGAGTAAGATGGATCAGATATCTGGATATTGCCACTGTTTTTATTCCTGAAGGCTCCTCTCCATTGTTATCTCAGCCTTACTTAAAAGTCTAAGATAAAGGACTCACATATTTACTAAATTGCAAGTTTTATTCATTTTTTAATTGTTTTAAAATAAAATAAGAATATATCCCTTTTCCAAAACCTGCTGTATTTAACATCAAATTCTGTGTCAGCTAGGCAGTTGTTTGAATTGTCATGCCAACCAGAATTGTTGCCTTGTCCCAACCTTGCAAAATTAATAGTTCAAGAGAGGCAATTTTGTCATCTGGGGGAGTTGTATTCGCGTTTAAATTTTTTCTTGTACAACAATTACTCTTATTTTGAAGCACAGCATGTGAATTTAGCACAGCTCCTACAGCATGATCAAAATAAAGTAGCTATAAGGAGTCTAGGTGGACGGTAGTTGTACTGCAATCACACTGTAATTTTAGGTCCCAAATTTTGCCATCTTTCTACATATGCATTGATCATTGGCTGCAGGAGAAGTTATACCCTTGCAGGATGGATCAGATTCCAAATTACACCCAGATGTATACAATCTAGTCTCAAGTTTCTGACTAGCTCTAGAGCTTTTCATAGAGCTCTCTATTATCAGCTTTTCCTTGCCCTTCCTGAAGTGCATACTAACCAGCATGTAGCTGGCCATGGTAAGCCAGATTTCTTCAAATGAGTCAACTTTAAAATACTTATTTTAAGTCCATTACATTGTACTGGCTATTATGGAAGAATAGCTTGGCTGTTGAATAGTAGTATCTGAATAATTATTCATAGAGTGGTTGCTTGTTCAAGTGGTTGCTTGTTCCATCAACATTTTCTCCCTTTTCAATAATATTCAGCCCCTCATATTGCCCCAACAGATTTTGTAAGCTTAACATTTTCCAGATGGTAGATTCAGTACAGACTAATTTACATAATTTAAAGCTGCTTACTTGCATAAATTATATAATGAGAGCGCACATGCGCGCGCGCGCACACACACACACACACAGGTTCTTCTCTCAGATCCTACATGCCTCCCACTGAAGTCAGTGTGATATGCAGCTACACCAGTGATTCAAATGTGGCCCCTCATGCATACCAGAAGAGAACTGAGCCCTTCATGTCTGAAGTAAAAACAAACAGATTTCAACTATCAGACCTATGAGGAATTTTACAGGTATAAGAAAATTAATTGGACAAGATTTCCCTATATGCTACATTTGAGTGCACTCCAAAAGCAAGATTATAACATGAAAATGAACTCATATTTAAAAAAGAAAAACTTAACCAAATAGCTATTTTGAAAGGAGAAGATTCATGAATCAGCGTGTTTACTCATCTGGCTTTTCTTTCAAGGAAAAATACAAAATACACTAAGTGTTCCAAATAAGGCAACATAAAGACATGGTAATTATCTTCTTCTTTAGCATTACTACACAAAGATTTTATTTGTTGGGTTTTTTTTAAGCACAAGAGATGGGAAATTTGAACACTATTTATTGACTCCTAGGACAGCTCTGTACACTTCCTGGCAAATATTTTGTCACCGTGACCTGACAAACTAAATTATTCCCTACCAGTTGAACCAAATGCGTTTAGCATTTTTGTTTAGTAAATATACATTGTTAGAGCTTCAATGAACACAGAAGAAAATGGTAAGTTATAACTGTGATTTTAGAGAAGTGATCAGAATGTTATTCCAGCTGACTTCAGAGAGAGGAGGAAGCTATACCAGGATCAATGTCTTTATTCAGAACTTTATACTTCACCCATCCAAATATTCAGGCATGAATACAAAAGTTACCTCACTACAGACTAGTCAATAAATACTAGGCCTGTGTGAAGCTGCTAGTATTAGCTCCAGATTTGGCCAATTTGGGGGACAGTGATTTGATTGGGTGATTTGAATCACTGCCAAATCAATTCAGCCGAATCACCCAGGCCCATCCCCTGCCTGCTCTCCCAGCCCCAGCAATGGCTGCCCCGCCCACCCCAGCTCCGGCACTTTGGAAAAAAAGCCCCGACTCAGACTCACCGGTTCCTGCCTGGCAGG